AGGCCTTTCAACGAAACGAACTGCTACCATCGTTGAAAGCTGGCCGTGTAGGCCGCTCGCCGGTATACACGCCACACCTCGTCGCCAGCACCGTCCGCGAACTACCCCAGTCACTCCGCTCGACGATGCGCCACATTTCCGAGGCCACTGGAATTCCTCTTGGATCCTTGCACCGAGCGCTCAAGGCTGGAAAGCTCCATCGACGCACCACACGCTTAAAGCCTCTGCTGACGGACGAAAACAAGGCGAAGCGTCTTGAATTTTGCCTCTCGCACATTCGTCCCTCCGGTCCTCCCAAAACCCCGACATTCGATGGCATGTGGGATGTCGTTCACCTTGACGAAAAGTGGTTCAACGCAGACAAGAACGTCCGCAAGGTGTACCTGACGGAAGGTGAAGAGCCTGAGCAGCAGGCATGGTCAAGCAAGCGCTTCATCCCAAAAGTGACGTTCCTCGCGGCCGTGGCACGCCCTAGACATGACTTGGAGCGTGGCATCAACTTTGATGGGAAGATTGGCATCTGGCCGTTCGTGCAGTACCAACCTGCTCAGCGGAGCTCGCGCAACCGTCCGGCGGGAACTCTTGTGGCAACATTGGTGAACGTTGATGCACCGATGTACCGGGACTACGTGCTCACGTAGGTCATTCCAGCTATCAAGGCAACGTTCCCTACCATCAACAAGCGCGTAGTTCTCCAGCACGATAATGCAACGCCACATGGAGGCATCACCGACGCTGACCTAGTGCCGGTCTCGACGGATGGGTGGTCGTTTGTCGTTCGCTGCCAGCTACCAAACAGCCCAGATCTCAAGGTGTTGGTTCTGGGCTTCTTCGCGTCAATCCAATCTTTGCAGTACAAATTGGTTAGTCGCACTGTGGAAGATGTTATTCGTGCTACGCTCGCTGCGTTTGACCAGAGTGGCGGAGAGGCTCTGGACAAAGTGTTTCTTACCTTGCAAGCGGTGATGCGCCTTGTCTTGGAGAACAATGGTGGCAACCACTTCCGCCTGCCGCACTTGCGCAAGGATGCGCTGCGTCGTGCCAAAGCGCTCATGCCGAATGTCTCGTGCCCTGCATCTCTTTTGGGTTAAGCAGCCACTCAGGTTTTTAACCAATAACACGCAAGTTACTGCATCTCTGACCAATCGGATTAAAATGTCGCAAGTAATTTGGAAAAAGTGTGATTTTCAAATGTCACCGGTATATTGGAACAGAGGAAGTACAAGAATCTATTTTGATAAATAGATGAATCCAACTGGATATGTGCAAACCATGAATCATTTACTTTAAATATTAAATGAAATTCATTTAAAAAGTCCCACTTTCGATTTTACAGACTTGCATGTGGAATCCGTTGGGCGTCGCGGACTACGGATCGGACTCGGACTCGTCGGAGAGCGAGACAGGGCGTCAGGAGACTGTTGGGCCTTCAAACGCTGTCGCAATCAATGAAGTCAACGAGGAAGCGGTTGCTGCTCCTGCGCCAGCAGCCCCTGATGTCGTTGCCTCCGTCGTGTTAACCCACGATATCGCTGCGGATGAACCGACGAATGATATTCCGGCACTTCCAGCATTGCCAGACTTACCGCGAGCGCGATGCGACCCGGCGATTCAAGCCAAGATCAACAAGTACTTGGAACATAAAGAGCGCGGCCTTAGTTTTATCGGGAGTTTGCGCAGCAAGAAGGAGTTCGACAACCCGTACATTTTGGCAAGGGTGGTCGAGTACTTTGGCATTGAGGAAGTGCAATCAAACTTTCCCAAGGATGTGTTTGATCCTTATGGTTACGACTTGGACGATTACTCGGATAAACTGGCGATGGCGCTGCAGAAGGAACAAGAGCGCGTTGCGATGCTCGTCCAGCAAAACCCATCGCTGCGATGGACCCAGCCCAGTTCCCTCACCTAACTACAATATATATATATATACACTCGCTCCACAATATATATTCTTAACGTCACTCTTCGCCTTGTTGGGGGTCGCCGCTGGCCACTGCTCGGAGCTTCATTCGTTTGCCCAACCCCTTGCAATACCCGCGCTGGTTCTGCTCTTGCAACGTTCCCAACACTGGTTCAATATCGTCCTTCACATGACGCTCCATGCGTTCCAGCTCCCGTCGTGTCTGCTGGATCTCATCCTGCAGCTCCACCGTCTGCGCATCCAGCAAGTCCTTGGCCTTGCCCCACACGACTGTCGCGCCGTTGGCCTTCAAATGGACGTGCAACCCATAATCCATGTCGGCGATGGTCTTCTTGAGCTTGGCCATCTTGGCTTCCATGTCGCGCTTATCCTTGGCGAGGGCGGCGGCTTTGGCGACGGTCGTGGCCAGCGTCGCGCAATGCGAGCACGGCTGGGGCAACGTGTGGACGGGGCACCGTGCGGCGAGGCGCGACGTGTCAATGACGTGGAGCTCTGGGGGGTGGTCGTACAGACACCGCCCTTTCCGATTGAACACGTGGCAGATGCCCGTGTGTTTGAAGTCTGGGCACACGTCACGCTGGTTGTTTTGGGGGTACATTGCCCGGAGGCGGACGACACGGTCGTGGAGGTGCTGGAGGGTGGTGTGGGCACACGGGGGCACGAGCGTGCACACTTTGCATCGCTTGAGTGGCGCGCACATGTCGGCAATGTCGAGCGTGTCCTTCATGTGCATCATATTGCGATGGAAGAACCGGTCCACGTTTTCCATGCTCAGGTACTGGTGGGCATGGAAGATCTGCTGCAGTGTATCGAGGCACGGCCCTAACGCGTGGCGCCTTCGCTTGGCGATGTAGTCGATCGCAGGTCGCACAAACCCGATCTGCATACACCGTGCATGACGATACATATGGCGAAAGGTACATCAGAGTGTGTGGTCGTACTCGCTGGTTGACGCACACGGTGAGAAGTTTCTCTAGTACGTGGATGTCTTCGAGTGGTCGTAGCCGCACGATCTTACTTGTCGACTAGTACATCATGTGACGTTGTCAATATGGAGGCGATCACGTCATCATCACACTCAATATGACGTGATCCACAATGGTGGGGTGACGGCATCGCAAGCACATGTTGTTCGAGAGACAGGAAGAAGGGAAGACCTTGATCTGTTCGGTGACTTTGCTGGCGTCGGGGGCTACCGTCACCAGAAAGAAGATGTGTTTTTCGTTCAAAATCTCCCATTGCGGTCCGATTGAATGCTGCTGAGTCCGAGGGTTCAAGCTATTACCATCAAAGCAACATGGGCAATGACAACGAATCTGTCGACCTATAACTGAAACAAAAAGGGTGGGGGGGGTACAGAATTGCTTACACGTGAAAGTTCTCAATGACCACGTAGGGAAACTTGGTGTGTGGTTTTGTCTTGGGGTGCTCAATGTATCGCTTGAACGCGTCCAACTTTGTCAGCAGGACGCTCTCCCTACGAGTACAGTACTCGTTTATCAAGTGTTTTCGCGTTAGGTTGTCGGACTCGGTCGTCGCTGCATCCAGCACCAGCACGCGGCGCTTCCTCTCCGTGGCTTCGGGGTACATGCGCTGCATGAACAGATGGGCGAACGATGTCTTGCCGCCTAGCTCCTTCCCCTGTACAAGTCGTAGTATTTGGTTGAAAGTTGTATATAAATTTCGCACAAGCCCGAGAACAACGTGCCGTGACGACGATGTTGATGCCGCCTTGATAACACTCGATTGGTTCGCACACATTAAACAAGTCTTGCATCGCAGTGTCGTTGTTTAAAAACTCGGCTGGCTGCACCACGAACGATTGCACCGCCATCAGTCACACGAGGTTCGACATGGACAATACGTACCGTAGTCGGCAGCATGGTTTGTATCCTGCCGACGGCGAATGAGAAAATGTCAGACGACATACATCGAGCACGTACCAGCTAGGGGCGGCATCGGCGGACGTCGGCATGCGAGGCTTCTTCGGGCACGGATACGCTCGGTAGAGCTTGTCGATGGCATTCAAGAAGCCGTACTTTACTCGCCAGTCGACCACCACCACTTCAGTTGGCGGCTCCACGTGAGGGACTGTGGCTGCTGCTATTACTTCCTTCTCATTGGTCTGAACAGGTGGAGAAGGCTTGTCACGTTGGGGACCACGTTGTGGCGCTCCAGCTGCTGCTGCGCGTCCTTTCCGCATTATTTGGGTATCTTAGGCAAGAGTGAGTGAGAGTGGTCATTGTGAGTCGATATTTTGATAAAAATGAGCCAAATGAAGCAACTAAACTACAGTACACTTCAACTAGTAACACTCCGGAGTACTACGTAGTAATGTGGAGCAATTTATAGCACACCCTGGGCGTGGCCAGCCTGCTTCAACATGACAAAAGTTGGGAGGTTAAATTAGCGGCACATATATTAAGAATAAATACATACACCTACGATCTAGACTAGACACTGTTGAACGATGCGATGCGAGCGACCAGGAGGTTGCCCCAGAGGTTGATCACTGTCGTGAGGGGGTCCAAGATGCACTCGGCCACTAGGAGAAAGCTGTACGAGTACGTGATCGGAACCCCGCTCAGGTACGTAAAAAAGGTTACGACAATGGCGACGCCCCCGGTGCGGACGGGGGGGATGGCCAAAGACCCAATCACGGACAAGACACCCACGACGCCGAGCTTGGAATATGTCAGCAGTGAGCCGAGGCCGGCGTTGCGAAACGTCCAAATGAGAGCCATGCACACATAGAGTGCACCGCCGCTCTTGTTGATGCATGTACCAATGGACGTGGCAAACCTTGCGACGTTGCGGTTGCCTTCCAGGGAATCCATCGACCGCGATGCGACGGGCGTGCTTTTCCTGGACGAACTGCACGAAAAGCCATATATAAGGGCATCTTTCATCAACCCGAAGAATCGAAACGGGTTTGTCCGTGTGGACACGATGAGGATCAGAGGTAGCACCACGAAGCAGTGGATGATCGCCGCGAGGACAAACGTGCCTAGGAAGGCGGCGAGTCGCGGGCCATCAACGGCCAACGTGTGCGTGTGGGCGAGGAGCGGCGCTGCGATGAGGGCGATGATGGCGACAGGGGTGACCGCGACGACGTACGAGAGCATGGTTTTGAAGATCGCGTGCAGTTCTCGGAGGATGTCGACGAGACGATTGTCCTTGTCCTGGCGACTCCTGACGCCGCACGCAACGCCAAACAACAGTGAAAACGTGACGACCCCCAACACGTTGTTATCCATCACCATGGTTGTCATGTTGTCTGGCACAACGAGGTTGATCAGGTTGAGGATCTCGGCAATACTTGATGGGAACCATTTGACGTATGTCTCGGGAAAGTTGGGTTCGAAGGGCAGGCTGGTGGTTGAAAAGTTGGCATAACCGCCCTCGAAGTTGCTTTGGACGCAAGACAGGGCCCCCGTCGATGGGTCGTGCTGCAACAAAGCGGGGGGGGCATTACCGCTACTGCGGCTAGGGCACTGAATGGTCACGTCGGCCTCTGGGAGTCCGCCCAAGTACGCATGGCCGTCGAACGAGCTCGCGAAAAAGTGGCACCAAAATAACCCTTGGGCCAACGCACACGTTGTCGTGAACAGCGTCAACGCAACCAACAGCACTTTGCGCCTCATTTGGGATGCCACCAAGTCTGAAATGCACATGGTCACATTGAGAAACGCCAACGGGATGGTTACGCAGGTGAGGGCTCGAAAGTAGATCCTTCCAATGAAGTGAATTTGGTCTGCGAACTCCAAGTTGGCGTTGGCAAACTCGTGTAACGCTGGGATTTGCTCGAGCACCAGCACCACCACGATCCCCACGACCGTCCCCAAGACCGTCCCGGGGGCCCCCAAGTACCACTTCACCCATTTCGATTGTTCCATCGACTGGGCAGGGTCGTTCACGAGGTCATAAGTATGGCGGGGCTTCGGTTCCATGATCGGCGTGACCACGGGTTCAGACGCAACCGACATGGACGATTCGTCCTGTGTGACGCTTTCCGTCATGGCAATATGGCCGCGCAGTCCGACGTGCGATGACATGTGCGAGGCGAGTTGGAGAATGCCATGTTGCTGTGAAATGGGGGGGGGGAGTGGTTTGGGACATATGTAAATGCAATAAATAGCCACACGGACCGTGTAATCGCGTTTGATCTTGTTACACCTCTTGGGTGCGCAGCAGCGAGTATCACATGTGGTAACTTGAAGGCGTCTGTCTATCCACGACTTTACAGGCGGGATAAATTAACGTTTTACGAATTACTGGTAACGTTATAGCGAAATCATGGCAATGGCATTGGACACACCATCACTACTTTACAGGCGGGATAAACTAACGTTTTACGAATTCTAGCGAAATCGTTTCGACATTACCACTATTTGAACAAAGCATACCATTGAACATATTTTTACCCACAAAGCAAGGCTGTGCCTGCAATCGAAATTCTACCGGTATTTATCCATATTATTACATTTTCAAATCAATTCACCAATATACTGTCGAGGATGCAGTATATATATATATATACCGGTATATTCGTACTAGTACGTATACAACAATGATATGTATGATTCGGTGGACGCTCGAAATCCACAGCCTTGAAGTCCCAAGACCAGTGTTTTGGGGGATGTTGTTCCCAGCCCGTGGTCGACAGAATTTCAAGCATATGGTTACACTAGCATTTCTTTGGGGAGGAAGCCTATACAACTTTAAACTTCGACTTAAAATCATGTGGGGTTGTTTAAGTTGACGAATAATTTCTCGACTAACACCATGTTAAGCGTAAATGCAGAAGTGGGACATGACAATCGATGTGAAGAGTCCGATACTGACGAAATACTCCATGTATGATTTGTTGTGTAACCAGGAGTAGTAATTAAAGTACGTGTCCACTGGCGCAGTGGTTTAGCTTCGATACATCACTTTGGACGTGGAGGTTTCGGGATGAATTCCCATGCACGACGTCGCTTTTTTCTTCATTTCCAGTTTGCCCTCCACCGACTTCGCTATACAACGCAATACAACGCAAATTAATCGACCCTCAGTTCGTCGAGTACTACGTAGTACTACGTAGTACTACAGTAGTACTGTACAGTAGGTGACCTACGTACATGCTTCACTATGTAGTTTAACATTTGTATCAAACACTGAACGAGATTCTGCATGGTTCTCAACTCGCAGGAGTTGAAGGAGTACGATAGGTATATCGTTTGTAGTTCGTACTACAGTAGTTGCCTTGACAGCCGCCCATTTCACGGACAATTACTGTAGACCGTGGTCTCTGTACTGGTCGGGGCAATTATCCGGACTCTAAATTTTCGGATAATGGGAAATCGTCGCAAGTTCAAATATTGTATTAATTCCGAGGCTTTTTTGCCGCCAAAGCATGTGCGCCGTTTTTTGACACGTCAATCGACAACCATGGCTGACGTCCACGATGAGGTGCTAAGGCGTCGCACAGGACGACCGCTATTCAAATACAGCAAGAAAGCTCACGTGCGCCTCTTCAAGAACAAGACAGTCGACTACCAACACCGATTGAATGCCATTCACCGCGTCGCCGAGGTTGGGAAAGTTGGCTTTTCTGGACAGCTACTGCGTCAACTGCAAGCTCATCGACGGTGCTGCCATTGAGTTAGTGACGGAGGATAGTCTTGACGACAGCGACATTGCTGATTTGATGGCGGACTTTGCCGTCGAGGAGACGACAATTGATCCAGCACAGGATTTTGACACCTGAAATTGTTTCGTTGTAGATAATGTATTATCTTACCATTTGTATGAGATATTTTATAAAGTTTCCCGTGTTCTCCAACTTTTTATAATGATCCACTCCTAATTTTTAGGCAATGGAGGTACATGTAATATGTAGTATAAGTGGGATTGTGCGGAGAACACCTTTATACTCTATACTAGTATTCAATAACTTTGGAGTGTCTAGAACTAAAAGGCTGTCTAAAACTATATACGCTACAGTACACGGTATCTCCGCTGTAATGCTGTACTTCTAATACAAAACTCCGACTTTCCAAGCAAGTTTACTATATATTTGAGCACCAATATACACTCATGGACAAAACTTAGGGAACACTCACATTTCATTTGATATCTCATGAAGTATTGAGAGTTGAGAGCGGCTGTTTGAGTATGAAGATCCAATAGCAATGCAGAAAACGTGGTTGTAGCTACCGGCGCGCAACTCGCCAGTGTCGAGAACTTTCCATTCAATATTCGAATTTTGAACTCGGACAAAATGAAGGAACGCAAATTGCAATACAAAATTCAATATATTGCTCAATTAATAATGAGTCTTCTCGCCATTGCGTCGAATCGTTTCCAAGCATCGGCGATGCATGGAGTCGATGAGGTTTTTGACCTCCTCATCGGAAATCATGTCCCACGCAAGCAACACTGCAGCACGCAACTCGGCCACGTTATGGTACTGACGACCATTGTTGTAAACAACGCGCGACATGGTGGACCAAAGGTTCTCAATTGGGTTGAGGTCCGGCGAACGCGCAGGCCAAGGCAGCAGGTCAATGAACTGGTCCACACAAAACTGCTTTGTCTCCGCAGAAGTATGAATCGGAGCATTGTCTTGTTGAAAGACAAAGTCAGACCCAAACTTTAGGTGAGCAACAGGCAAGAGGTACTCCGAGAGAGTGAAAACATAGTCACCTGAGTTCTGCTTTCCTGTCAGGATAGCAATTGCGCTCTTACCGCACCTGGCGATTGCACCCCAGACCATGACGGAGCCACCACCTTGCTGTCACGTGACGAAGCTTCGCTTCGGTTGCCGAATATCATGCCAGTAGTTCTTGTAGCCGTCCGGTCCGTCTAAATTGAATTTCTTTTCGTCCGAAAAGACAATATTCGACCAATCGAATAGATTCTCGGCATGGTCCATGGCCCACTTGAGTCGTGCAGTTTTGTGTGCCGGCGTCAGTTGCAGTGTGCGTTGCATCTTGGTGTAGTCGAGCAGGTCGCATCGCTGCAAGACTCGACGTGTTGTACGGACATTGCATGGCAGCTCGCAAGTCTTGTGCAAGGTTGATGCACTTGAGCCAGTCTTGCAGGCTTCGCGAACCAATCGTCGGGTTTGCCGTTCGGTCAGGGCAACAGGTCTCCCACATTGCTTTTTCCGTCGCCCAAGTTGACGCAAGCAGCGAGAAATCACAGCAACGGACTTGCCCGTGATCGCACGGATAGCTCGGTACGTCATTCCTGCCTCACGATGGCCATTTATGCGGCCACGCATCTCATCGTTGAGTTTTTCGCGACGCATATTGCCGAATGACATTGATTTCCTATGCGCTTTTGATTGACCAACACTTAAAATGTCTTGAATTTTGTATTGCAATTTGCGTTCCTTCATTTTGTCCGAGTTCAAAATTCGAATATTGAATGGAAAGTTCTCGACACTGGCGAGTTGCGCGCCGGTAGCTACAACCACGTTTTCTGCATTGCTATTGGCTCTTCATACTCAAACAGCCGCTCTCAACTCTCAATACTTCATGAGATATCAAATGAAATGTGAGTGTTTCCTAAGTTTTGTCCATGAGTGTATGATCACAATTTTAACCCCTGAACTGTGTATCGAAGTTATGCATACAGAGTGTGCGGATATACTAAAACATCTGTCAATTCCAAATGATTCTGTTATTGTGCATTTCACCCAAATTTGGACATATTATTATTATGAGTCATTTCGCCAAATAGCATTCGAACCCAATTTAAGCTTGTACAAACTATACGTTACGTTAGCGTTATATAGTATTAAATATACAGTATATGGTTTTGCGTACCAGCACGTGATTTGATTGGCTTAGGCGTTTCTTTAATTCAATTCTCCAGTTTCGAATCAATTTGACAATACTATAGACTTGCGACAAAGTAATTGGCAAAGTATATTCATTATATTGGAAAGTGAAGCATTTTTGGTTAATAACAACGGAGTTAGTGGGTTAGAAGTCTAAGGTGATTCATGTAATTTCCGCCCACCATGTAATTTCCGCCCAGTTGGCAGCCAATCACAATCATCGAACGAAGATGATTGGATAAAATCAGGTACTCAGGTAAATAATACCCTTAGCATTTAATATTTGATTTCTTTCATATCGCATGTAATCTCATAATTACAATGGCTTATAAATAGAATACCTTGTACACTTAATAAA